CTGCTGTCCTGCAGGCTAGTGGCTGCTCCATGGCACAGGGGGAGTGTCCCCAAGCATGGTTCCTCACCTCCTGCTCTGCTGTGTTCTCCCTCCACTCCTGTGCTCTAGCCAGTATCAAGTGATGTCTCATTCCTCCCCTACTCTCTTGGCCAATGGAGGTGATAGTCAAGCCCGAAAATTTAAAGAGTATACTGAAAAAAACAATCCCAGATTTCAGTCACTCACTTTCTACTACAAAGCTGTGCCTGTACTTACAAACATCGAGGAAAAACACTGCCACTAGAGAAGTCTTGGATTTTCCTTTTGCATTAATTGATCTGGCACAGCTTCCAAATGATGTCATTAAATTATCCATCTCCAAAGCACCTGGTTATCCTTTGACCAGGTTTTTTTTGCCTGTCACATAGTCAGGAGGGACCTCTGGCCAGCTACACTGCCCAGGAGAGATGCTGTGGGACCTGACAGGAAAAGCAGTGAGCTAAGAGATTCCCCATATGCCTTTACTTTTAGAGAAGGAAAAAAGTCCAAAACCCTAGTGCTGCTCCCAACGAGGCACAACAAATCAGGTAATGCTTTTGGCTGCCCTGGAGCCCACAGAGGAACACGTTGTCACCATCTCAACTGTTCCAGTTGAAAACCCAAAGAGCAGTGATGCCATCAGCTCCTGGAAGATGTGCTGTGCTGGGGCTTGGAAGGGAAGGGGATTGGGTGGGTTTTTTTTTGTCTGAGTGTGAAAAGCCTCTTTGCTCATGACTTCTACTGCTGAGTACATCTGATCTGAAGATCTGCTGTGCTGGAAAGTTTATAAAATGAAACTCCTTGGAGTGAGAAAGATTGAGTTCAGCTGGAAAGATATTTTTCCAAAAAAACAGCAAAGTCCACACTAGAGGTTAAGGAGAAGGGACAACACCAAAGCAATGACCCAGCAGGAACACGCTAGGACTTACTGGCACTAGTTACAAGGCTGCTAGAACTCCTCAGTAAAGCCTGGAACACCCTTGGAAGTGATGTCAATTTCTTCTGTTTTGTCCAAGTCTCTTCTCAGACTGCAATTGCTTTTAGCACCGATGCTGTAAAGTCCTATATCCAACTCTCCTTCTTGAGGGTCCAAAATCTACCACCTCTCACTGTGGTGGGGTTGTCCTCTTCTTTCAGCCAATGGGGGACCACAGATGGACAAGGAGGTGAGGATTCTACCTCTTGCTTTGCTCATGGCATTCTTCATGTCTGTGTTCCTTAGGCTGCAGACGAATGGGTTCAGCATGGGGACTGCGACAGAATACAGCATGGAGACCACCTTATCCCACTGCAAGGAGTGTCTGGAGACAGGACGCAGGTACATGAAGAGGGAGCTGCCATAGTACAGAGAGATGGAGACCAGGTGTGAGGCACAGGTGAAGAAGGCTTTGTGCCGACCATCCGTGGAGCGGATCCGCAGGACAGCAGAAAGGACCAACGAGTAGGATACCAGAATGAAGACTGTGGTGTTGAGCACGTTGAATCCCACCACAGCAGCAACCACCACCTCACTGAGGTGGGTGTTGGAGCAGGAGAGGGCGAGCAGAGGAGGTCCATCACAGAAGAAGTGGTTGATCACCTTGGAGCGGCAGAACGGGACATGGAATACGGAAACTGTGTGTATGGTGGAGCTGATCACAGCAGCCAAGTAGGCACTTGCCAACATGCCAAAGCAAAGCCTCTGGGACATGACCACGGGGTAGAGCAGGGGCTTGCAGATGGCTACGTAGCGATCGTAAGCCATGGCAGCCAGCACGTAGCACTCAGTGGTGGCCCAGGTGGCGAAGGAGAAGAGCTGGGTGACACATCTAGCGAAGGAAATCACCTTCTTCTCCACTAAAAAAAACCTGAGGCTTTGAGGGATGATGGTAGAGGAGTAGCAGATGTCCAACAGGGACAAGTGACTCAGGAAAAAGTACATGGGGGTGTGGAGGCACAGATCAATCCGGATTAATACGATTACTCCCAGATTCCCTACCAAAGTGACCACATAGATGGCAAGGAACAAGATAAAGCACATCACCTGCAGGTCTGCTCGGGCTGTGAAGCCCAGGAGAATAAATCCTGATGCAAATGTCTCATTGTCTCCATCCATGGCGAATATTTTGTGCATTCAGTTTGGCTTCTGTGTCTTCCAAACCAAAATGTTTTAATGGACCTCAATCTATCAGTAATGAATGTCAATTTTTGTCAGTCAGTAACAAAACTTTAAGTCAAAATAAGGTAAGTTCTCTTTTAAAGGGGAAAATCACAAATTCCTGACAGTATCCCTGTTCAGCCAACACATTTGGATGCAGGTGGATATTTAAGGCATAAAGGAGAGCAATACCACACCAAAACTAACCATAAATAAATTGCAAGGCTTCCTCCTATTTCCTTTCCAACCATTTACACATGGAAGTCCATGAAATTATTCCTCATCTTTTGACCATTACCAGTCCAATCTGAGCTCTTGAGGAATAACTATTTGTCCCCAGGTCCCAGGAAGAGCTTTTTTAGGTGAAAGCACTGGAAAAATGCAACTTTCCTTATTGTATTTTTTCTTGGTGTAGTAATAAGAGTCAGGATTTATCTCACCTCACTTTGCTTGAGATGTGAAGGGTCAGGATTTGTCTCACCTCACTTTGCTTGAGCTGTGATGCTTTAATTTGGAGATCAAACGTAAATTCAGGCTCCATCTCACTGCTCACCAGGGAGAGATCAGCATCTCCTGAAGTCCCACTCTAGGACAGGTAAAATAAACAAACATCGATTTTTTTCTCCTGGATAACATTAATCATGGCTTGACAGAGTTACACCAGAGAGTAAACCAAGAGTATGTGCTGCTGGTGCCTGACAAATCCACCCAAACCTCACAATCCTCATTACAGGACAAGTCTCTGCTGAAGAGATGAGGTTAACCTCAGAACCTGATGTCTCTATTTGGATATCCCGTGAGCGACGTGTCTGCTCTCCTGTGTTATTAACTAGGATTTAGAGCTGCTTTTCATCAGCCTCACTGAGCTGCCAGAGGCAAAGTGGCAGCCAGGACACCTGCAGGTGCCAGAGCTGTTACAAGTAATGAAAATCGAGCGGGTTCAGGGCTGAGTCCTCCCCCAGGGCAGTATCCACCTGCCTGGCTGCAGAATCGGCTGCTGGAGGAGAATTGACCTCGATTTCTTGATTCACTGAAGTTCACGCTCACTTTTTCTTACTCAACAAACCAACTTTGCTTTGTGTGACAGTTCCCAGATGTAGAATGGGGAAAAAAAGTCAACTCAAAGCAATAT